CACAGCGCCCCTAGAGGACAGAATGGAACTGCCCCACAGGGTTTCCAAGGCTGTCAATCTTCACAGAAGCAAAGCCCAAACCACACCCACTGCTGTGGAGTCCATTCTGACCCACAGCGCCCCTAGAGGACAGAGTGGAACTGCCCCACAGGGTTTCCAAGGCTGTCACTCTTCACAGAAGCAAAGCCCAAACCACACCCACTGCCGTGGAGTCGATTCTGACTCACAGCGTCCCTAGAGGACAGAGTGGAACTGCACCACAGGGCTTCCAAGGCTGTCAGTCTTTACGTAAGCAGACTGCCACATCTTTCTTCCACAGAGCAGCTGGTGGGTTCAAACCAATGACCTTCTGGTTAGCAGCCTAGCACTTAACCACTACTCTACCAGAGCTCCTGTTAGTGTGGTCCTTAATAGTTAAACAAAACAAAACCTGAATGTTTATATATTGGAAGGCAAGGATTTTGGTCTCACTACTCCTTCCCACAGGAGCTCTGGTAGCATAGTGGCTAAGATACTTGCCTGCTAACCAGATGGCTGGCGGTTCATACCCACCAGCCACTCCTCGGAAGGAAGGTTGGGCAATCCTACTTCTGTAGTGACACCGCCTCAGAAACCCAAGGAGGGGTCACTATGAGTCGGGTTTGACTCGACGGCACATAACAACAACAACAACAACTCCTTTCCACATCACACACACACACATATACACGAAAATACAATATATATTTCAGGGCATGAATATAAGAATCCAAACTGAACTATGTTACTTATATTTAATGTAGAGAAAAGTCTAAATGGATGAAAGTCTTCACAGCCTATTTGTGTGTATACACATGTAAATAACAATACTGACGCCAGAGAAGCCGAGACAGGGACCTTCCCCAAAGCAGACAGAGAAGCTGTGCCGAGAGCCGGCGCCCTGAGTGCAGACTTCTGGACTCCTGGGCTGTGAGAGAATGAACTGCCATGTGGAGTGAACTGGAAGGTGTGGCGAAGGCTTGTGAACAGCAGTCATGACCTCTGACCTCTGAGCACCAACTCTTCAATTCAAAAGTCACGAGAGGACCAGGACCCTAAGCCTTGTGATCTTTTGGGGATTTTTCCAACAGATCCTCTATACAATACCAGTTCTCTGAAAGACAGACATAAGGAGAAAAGACAGACCAATACAAAAATGTTTCCTTTTTCTCCTCATCAAGAGCAAGGAAGAATGAAGAAAAACAAAGATTCATGGAAAGAATTAGTCCTAGTGACTGGTACACCATGCAATCTGCAGCCTATACGACTAAGAGACCAGAAGAACTAGATGGTGCCCGGCTACCACAGTCAGCCACTTGGAGTGGGATCTATGTACGAGATCCTGGACAGAGAGGGAGAACGATGTGGAACAAAACTCAAAATCATTTGGAAAAAAATAAAAAAAGGGGGAACCAGGTTTGCTGGTCTGATAGAGCCTGCTGGAACCACTGAGAATATGGCCTCTAGCTGCCCTTCAGGTCTGGAATTGAACCCACACCTGTGGCCTCCAGCCAAACAAAAGACAGGCATATGAGTTGGACATTTACCTGAGGTAGATACACTCTGTTCTGGTTCCCTGGTGCCGCTGACAAGAGATATACCACAAATGGGGTGGCCTTAACAAACAGGAGTTTATTCTTACAATTTGGAGGCTTTAAGTCCAAGTTCAAAGTGTCAGGCTCCACGGGCTGGGTAAAAGCCCCTCAACCTTGGGGTCCAGCTCTGTCTCCGGCTCCCGGCCCACTGGAGCTAGAGGTGTTTCTTCACTCAGACAGCTGCTGGCTGCTGAGGCTGACAAGGCCAAGGTTGACAAATAAGAAGGCACAGTCCCGATGTTACCAAACAACGCAGCAGGCCATTAACTTAAGTTCATTGTAAGTCCCAAGGTCGGCAGAATATGGCAGGCTGCTGAGCAACGACACGGCTACATGTGGGGTCCAAGCGTGCCATAGGCTAGAGACCATTCTCAAAGCTGCTCCTTATATACGGAAGCAGACCACATACCCAAAGGCAGCTACCCAGCTGCTCGTGGTAGATCCCACTATGGAGCTGATTGCCAGTCTCCTCATGGGGATTAACTACCACCAGCTGCCCAGCCACTCAACCAGGCCCAGCCAAGTTGACACACAAACCAAACTACCACACACTCCTTGGAGAGAACAATCATTGAGAAAGAAGGGCTGCTTATGCACAGGGAGACAGCTCAGGGGGCAGGGGTGCATAGAGAGATGGACACAGGGAAGAGGTGACTATGGGGATGAAGTGGGAAGGAGCTGTTGCATTGTGGTGAACTGTGGTCAATGTCATGAGGCAAAGTATATGTGAACTGCTGTATGGAAAGTGAATTTGCTCTGTAAAATTTCACCCAAATCACCAAAAAAAAAAAAAAAAAAGTTTCCTTTTATGGAGCTCTGGTGGCGCAGTGCCTAAGGCACTTGACTGGTAACCAGAAGGCTGGCGGTTCACACCAGCCACTCCTCAGAAGGAAGACGGGGCAATCTACTTCTGTAGTGATACCACCTCAGAAACCCAAGGAGGGGTCGCTGTGAGTTGGGATAGACTTGACTGCAGAGAGTTTGGGTTGTTTTTGGTTTTAAGAGTAAAAGCCCCCAGCTTGGTACTTGAATATTATGAGCGAGAATTAACCGTTATCTCTCAGTATTTGCTGTGGGACCCGGATGGAGATGTCAGCTGTCTGTGCCCCATGTTCCAGAACCCCGTCCACGCCCTGCTGGCAGCGCCTAGGCGAGTGTGCATGGTGGTTATCTGGCTGTTCACGGTCTGACATGTCTGTGAACACGTTCTCGTTCTTTCTCTGCAGGAAGTTCAGAAAAAAGCGTCTCTCTTTAGCCTGCAGATGGACCTCAGCGGGCTGATTCCCGGGGTCATGTCAACGTTCATTCTTCTGTCACACAGCGACCAGCAGGGACGGAAGCTCCCTCTGATCTTGTCTTCCGTGAGCTCTCTGGCCACCAGCGTGTGGCTCTGTTTGCTGGCCTACTTCGCCTTACCCTTCCAGCTGCTCATCGCGTCTTCCTTCATCGGCGCCCTGGGCGGCAACTTCACCACCTTCTGGGGAGCCTGCTTTGCCTACATAGTGGATCAGTGTAAGGAAGGGAAGCAGACGACCGTCCGAATCGCCATCGTGGACTTCATCATTGGACTTGTGAGCGGGCTGACAGGACTGTCTTCTGGTTACATTCTTAAAGAACTAGGATTCGTGTGGTCGTTTCTAATTGCTGCCGTGGTGCTGGCAGGAAACTTGATCTACATTTTATTTTTCCTTGGCACACCGGCCAAAGAAACGCCATCTCAGAATGATTCCGTGTCATGCGGTGAGGCCTTCAAAAACCTCTTTTACAGGACTTTCATGCTTTTTAAGAACGCCCCTGGCCGACAAAAGTTCTTGCTCAGCATGTTACTGTTCACCATGATGACTTACTTTTTCGTGGTAGTTGGCACCGGCCCCATCTTCATCCTCTACGAATTGGACGCACCGCTCTGCTGGAATGAAGTTTTTATTGGTTACGGGTCAGCTTTGGGGAGTGTTTCTTTTCTGAGCAGTTTCCTGGGCATCTGGCTTTTCTCTTACTGTATGGAAGACATTCACATAGCTTTCGTTGGACTAGTTATCACCATGGGCGGAATGGCTATGACTGCTTTTGCCAGAACAACACTGATGATGTTCCTGGGTGAGTTTAAAAAAAAAAAAAAAACAGCCTGAGAACTCACCAGATATTTGGTTTTTTGCATAAAATGAATTTAATCTGTTGGGTAACTCAAACTCACTGCTGTCAAGTCAATCCCACTCACGGTGACCACTCTTTGGGTTTCTGAGGTGGTAAATCTTTACGGAAGTAGATTGCCTAATCGTCCTTCCAAGGAGTGGCTGGTGCATTTGAACCGCCAGCCTTCTGGTTAGAAGTACAAATGCCTTAGGCACTGTGCCACTGGAGCTTCTACTCTGCTGAGTGGGAAATTTTAATAGGACTCTTTTCTTTTAGCCCATTCTAGTTCTGGTAGCATAGTGCCTAAGGCATTTGACTGCTAACCAGATGGCTGGCGGTTCAAACCCACCAGCCACTCCTCGGAAGGCAGGTTGGGCAACCTACTTCCGTAGCGATACCACCTCGGAAACCCAAGGAGGGGTCGCTATGAGTCCAGTCCGACTCGACAGCACATAACAACAACAACAGTTCTATTAAAGGTAACTGGTCGGAAGCTAGTTTGCCAGAAGTCAATAAGCTGACAGCCAATTTGCTCAAAAAAATAAAATTCCCTGAAAACCACAATTTTCCCAATTGGCATATTTGCCAAAAACCTGTTTTGAGGAGCATTCTCTTTATGAATCGGTTCTTCAGTATAACTTTTACCAACGTGACCATTTCTTTAAATGCCACTCAGAAGACTGTCAGTAAGTATGTCTAGAATGATTATGTTAAGTGTAGTCAAAAACATTTACAACCAGAAGGAATTTACATTTATCAAATACATTCAAGAATGGAACCTTTTGCAAGAAGGTTTTGCAAGTTGATCTTTGAGCAAATTGGTCGTTTCCTGAATTGGCTTTCTGAATGAATTACTTTTTGGCAAATTGGCCTGCTTACTCACCCACCTACCACATAAATGTTTTTGGAGGGCTGGGTGAGAAAGCGTTTGGAAAGGCTGTTGGAGTCGTAAAGTAGTACGTGCAATCAGTGCTAACCACTTTTTCCCTTGTGGGAAAGCAACGTGTTCAAGCCAAACTGGATTCAATTTGCGTCAATAGCAATAGGTGATCTTGGGGCAAGTCGCTGACCCTTGATTTTCTCATCTGTAAAATGGGCATGTTGTTGTTGTTGTTATGTGCCGTCGAGTCAAACCCGACTCATAGCGACCCCTCCTTGGGTTTCCGAGGCAGTATCACTACGGAAGTAGGATT